ATAGTAGTGGTTTTGGTCGTAGTGATAGTAGTGGTTGTGGTCGTAGTGATAGTAGTTGTTGTGGTCGTAGTGATAGTAGTTGTTGTGGTCGTAGTGATAGTGGTGGTTGTGGTCGTAGTGATAGTAGTGGTTGTGGTCGTAGTGATAGCGGTGGTTGTGGTCGTAGTGATAGTAGTGGTTGTAGTCGTAGTGATAGTAGTGGTTGTGGTTGTAGTGATAGTCGTAGTTGTGGTCGTAGTGATGATAGTAGTGTTTGTGGTCGTAGTGATAGTAGTTGTTGTGGTCGTAGTGATAGTAGTTGTTGTGGTCGTAGTGATAGTAGTGTTTGTGGTCGTAGTGATAGTAGTTGTTGTGGTCGTAGTGATAGTAGTGGTTGTGGTCGTAGTGATAGTAGTTGTTGTGGTCGTAGTGATAGTAGTGGTTGTATGTTTTATCAAAACTCCGATTTACACTTCAAGAAATGTTTTTGAATTAAAGCAACGATGTAAATCTTTAATAGGCGGTTATGTTTTTGCAAAACGGCATACCAAGGCTCATATTTATACAAACAAAATACATTCTTACAGGAAACACGAAATAAACAGAATAGAATCTGCCAGTTCAAAGATTACAAACTACGAGTCCTTCCTATTCCACCACTATAGTCTAATACTGTTTGTGTTCTTCTGATAATTTTCGAAACATTTTTTAAAAATATTTTTGCAAAATGACAGTTTGATTCGGGATGTTTTTATTAATTATACCATGACCATTGAACCTGTAAGGTCCATGACATAGAATTTGGGCTACTTGGAATACCTCAAATACCAAAGCAGTCTTGTTACCTGAGCCCGCGATTTCTTCTGGCTAGGAAACAAAGACGCTAAGCAATATTCTTGAATGTTTGCATGGTGACAATCGATCGGTAATTTAACTTGTAGGTTCACCACGTAAGTATTTAATACTGCAAAGCTTTCGGTCCGTTAACCCGGACCTTCATCAGTGCAACTCATTCATTCATCATTGAACTGACGAAGGCCCGGGTTAACGGACCGAAAGCTTTGCAATATTAAATACTTACGTGGTGTACCTACAAGCTAAATTACTTAAAGACGCTGAGATAATTCAAACCTGAAACCAGAAATACCGGCAAATTCATGCATGGTACTACAACATTCCATACAGCGTGAGTGACCTGTCAAAATCAATTCGAATTTCGACAAAGATTGGACAGAGCGTCACATATAGCTACTCGTATGGTTTTTCAGCAACCCCACCAGTACTCGGAATGTTTCTTTCTGATTGTTCCGATATGTTTTTAAACGCCTGTAGGGACGCCCAGTGTGGCAGGGAGTGCTGAGGTCCTAAAATACTATAGGAATAGAATAACACTTTTGTTGGAAGTATATAGACGTGGGGTCTGGACCTGATTAGGCCAGTTTTCCACTACACGATTTTTTTCGCATGATGCGAAGCGAAAAAAAATCGTGGCAAAAAGCATTTACGCCAGCTTATCACGTTGCAGAATTTTCAGTTCCCGCGTCTGATGGGAAACGGGTTTCCACGGCGAGCTTTGAACTTTGACTCGTGCGGCAATTGCATCAAACGTTCCAAAATATCTGTCCCCTAAATATACAGGGTGTATAAAAAAAAAGATAATCCAACCTCAACACGGTATTGTACGTGAACTACTCAGTTTATAAACGAATTTTTTTCACATTCGGAAAGATCAGGCTTTTGATTATCAGATGACATGTTTTTAATACCAAATGGTAAAAAAGTGAGCACATACGAAGCTGATAAAAAATGTTAGTCACAATCGCATATTTTCACCTTTGAGCCTAATTAAAGCAGTGCATAACAAAAGAAAAAAAAACAATAAACCACGAACATGTCACAGCTTGCACTGGTTTTACGCCCCATTGCTTAGAATGTTCTCCTCGTGCGATTTATTCCTACTTAATATGCATATGCGGGTAGTTTATTCAGAAGCAAAATTCTCCAAAGGGAGTTCATTTTCAATGGTTTTAGTCCCAACTCTCAGAGGTGAAAATATGCGATTTTGACTAACACTTTTTATCAGCCTCCTATTTGCTACTCACCCTGTACATGACTGTTCAGAAATAACTATAACACTGCGACCCGGTTCGGTTGACGTTTAAGGCAAACCCAAAACTGCCGATAAACTTTATGTTTTAACTTCACTATCTTAAAGTGTGCAGCAAATTCGCTAAATTACAAATGTTCTAAATAAAACTTATTTTCAGCTCGTTATTTTCAAGTACGTGCAATAGGAGGCCAGCCTTAAAGTAGTTTTAGTCGAAACGTCATTCCCAGGATTTTTCTCGTTTAGTTATCGGCCTGAAACATTCTCTTGTGATTGCATGCGGAAACTAATTCTGATTTTTTTTTAAATACAAAGGTTTTCCGGCTTTCAAAAATGAATTACATTTCCTTAAAATATGCGGGTAGACGCAAAGGCGAAACAAAGGTCTGAGAAAAAAGTATTCAAAAGCGTATGCAAGGGCTAATTCACAGTGTGAAGTGGCTTTTGATTGACTAAGCGCACATATTGGAGGATGTTTTGAAAGATCGTTGGCAATCTTCAGTTATGGTCTTTAAAATAAATTAATGCTTCGCGTTTTCAGTCTAATTTTCGATACGGTCGCCTGCTATACTAATTTATTCGAAATGCGTTTTAAATTCTAATTCATTATCAATCAAATGAATGCTGTCTTCTGATCCGTGTTTATGTCTTAGTGATGTTTTCATGAATGAGTTTGTTGTATGTGTCGAGCGAGGTTTCATATATTTTCGAAAAGTTTTATTACTTCTTTCAAGTGGAAAGGAGCCCAAAAGGTTTTTTGGTTGAGTCTTTTCCACCTTCCATCGCATGCGTTTTAGCACACTTTCTCACTTCTTCAATCAAACTTCTCAAATAAGCATCCTGAGATGGTATAGGGATATTTTTAGTCTATAATCGAATCGAAATTGTGTCATTGTTAATTGGTACGCTGGAGCAGGTAATCAGCCCTCATTTCAGTAAAAGTGTCAAGACCAATGTTGGCTGCAGCTTCCTCAAGCTTCTAGACAAACACTCTCCACCTAGCCCGACACAAGCTGCATAAGATCTTCAATAGGAACACAGTTAAGGTAAGCTTCATTTGTATGGGCAACGTGTAGTCCGTAGTTACCAAACACAATGCAGGTATAATTAAGAAAAATCAATCACACAGCATTACCACAGACAGTTGCAACTGGACCACTAAGATCCCCCTAGGAAACCAGTGCATGACCAAGAACATAGTATATACAAGGCAACTGTCACCACTGGCAATGCAAACAATACAAAGCACTATACATCGTCATTTTAAAGAGCGATACAGGAATCATATTAAATCTTTTAGACACAAAAGGTGCCCAAATGACTCTGAACTTTTGAAGTATATTTGGCAATTGAAAAACAACAACCAAGATTTCAACATAACATAACATTGTTAATTGTAAAACGCGCAGTTTCGTACGGGAGGATTAAAAAGATGTTATTTATGTTTTGAAGGAAAGGATAGGGCCTATTTGTTAAAAAAAAATTAGTTTTCACATGTAATCACAAAAGAATGTTTCACACCGATTACGTCATACAAAACAAATCTTAGGACATTGTTTGACCACCCACGTTTCAACCAAAACTACTTCAGCGGCATCATTTTGTTATATGTCAGTTATGTCTACCACCTAAGCTACCTAAAGATTCCTATACGGATGAAACAGACTGTATTGGACCGTGATATTGGTAATGGTAGTAGAATAGCATTATTACTCGCGATCTTAACGAGTTTTCCAGTTTTCAAAGGTAACTAAATTTGATCATGATTTATTATAAAATTCTTGATAATTATACTGAATGATAACACGTTTTCACATGTCTCGGGCGCAAAACTCTTAAAACTTCCTTCCAGAATTGAATTTATTTGGTTTTAACTGAAAATTCGCCTTGGCGAATCACGCTCTGTGTAGGTGGGCCTTTAAGACGATTTCCATTACTTCTGCCTTTGTTTTTTAAACTTGTCACGGCCGCAGGAGCTGACTAAGCTCTGCGCTCGAAATTTTTCTCGCTATGAAATTTTGCATCGTGGTTTGTCAGTGAAAACGTCGTTCTAAAAGGCATTTATAGCTAATCATGTTGCAGAATTTGTAGTGACTTCTCGCCAACAAATTTGCGTAATGGAAAACGGGCTTTACACGGCGCACTTTTTCCTGAGACTTGACTTGTTGCGGCAGATTGCATCTAGCGTTGCAAAAAGAAGTCAGTGCCCCGAAAGATATAAAAGAAACGATTTTAAAGTTCTAACGTATTTGAAATTGCATATATGTGGAAGAAACACATGTAGCTGTGCTCTCAAATGACTATTTTTCTTAGAGTGGTTGTCCCGCGGGAACCATGCATATGAAACCTCTTGAGCGGAGCCCCTAAATCCCCGACATATTTCTATTTCCCTGCGGTGCAATGCCTTGCCAGGCAGGTTGCATAAAAAATTGCACTCTTTAAGTTATACTGTTTTGCATCATACTTTTGTCTACTTTAACTTGTGAGCACTTCTTTGTATAGGAACTGATAAAAAGCAAGAGCAAAGTGTGAGTATGAGTGTGCGAGTAGAAGAAAGAAAACTACACCTTTGGTTTGAACTGAGAGAGCAATTTGAGCGAACTCAAAGTTCACTTGAAGTGGTAAAATATCTTGTTCAAGAGGGCGCTGATTTAACTTTCAAGGATGCACACGGGAGGACTGTGCTATACTCCGCTGTGACTAAAAGTACTTTGGATAAAGTAAAATATCTTGTTGAAAAGGGCGCTGATGTAAATGGGAAGGATACTGACGGGTGGACTGTGCTGCACTCTGCTGTTACAGAGGCGCCCTTTGAAATTGTAAAATATCTTGTTGAAAAGGGCGCTGATGCAAATGGCAAGGATACTGACGGGTGGACTGTGCTGCACTCTGCTGTTGCTAAAGATAAGCTTGAAATAGTAAAATATCTTGTTGAAAAGGGCGCTGATGTAAATGGCAAAAAAAACAAACAGGTGGTCTGTGTTGCACTTTGCTGTTGCTCAAGGTAAGCTTGAGATAGTAAAATATCTTGTTGAGAAGGGCGCTGATGTAAATGGCAAGGATATTGACGGGTGGACAGTGTTGCATTCTGCTGTTGCTGAAAGTACGCTTGAAATAGTAAAATATCTTGTTGAAAAGGGCGCTGATGTAAATGGCAAGGATACTGACGGATGGACTGTGTTGCACTTTGCTGTTGCTAAAGGAACGCTTGAAATAGTAAAATATCTTTTTGAAATGGGCGCTAAGGTAAATAGTGAGGATACTGAGGGGTGGACTGTGCTGCACTCTGCTGTTACAGAGGGTACATTTGAGATAGTAGAATATCTTGTTGAAAAGGGCGCTGATGTAAATGGCAAAGAAACAAACAGGTGGTCTGTGTTGCACTCTGCTGTTGCTAAAGGAACGCTTGAAATAGTGAAATATCTTGTTGAAAAGGGCGCTAAGGTAAATGGTGAGGATACTGACGGGTGGACTGTGCTGCACTCTGCTGTTTCAGAGGGTACGCTTGAGATAGTAGAATATCTTGTTGAAAAGGGCGCTGATGTAAATGGTGAGGATACTGACGGGTGGACTGTGCTGCACTCTGCTGTTTCAGAGGGTACGCTTGAGATAGTAGAATATCTTGTTGAAAAGGGCGCTGATGTAAATGGTGAGGATACTGACGGGTGCACTGTGCTGCACTCTGCTGTTAAACAAGGTACGCCTGAAATAGTAAAATATCTTGTTGAAAAGGGCGCTGAAGTCCACAATAATAATCTTGGCATGGATATTTTGAAGATAGCAATTATCAAAAATTCGGTTAATTTGGTTACTCTTTTGTTAAAAAAGAACGCGAACTTATGGAAATGTGGAACATTTTTCATTGATGGAAGAAATTTGAGTCTTCTTGAAATGAGCATTCACCTTGGTTATGATGAAATTGCAACTATTCTGAAAAGGTCCGTAAGACATCGTGAGAAAATTCAGGTGCTTTGTACAACGAATTGCAACCAATTAGAGAAGGTAAAACTTGAAATATATTTTAAACATATATGAGATATTATAGTTTTGAACACTCTGGAGCTACCCAGTCTTTTCTGTAAAAACCTGTCACCGAATTTGAGGAAATGAGTTTCAAAGCTTGTTTTAAAGAGGGAAACTGCCCTTTTAACACATTATATTCCAATATTAATATTTAAAATATAAAGTCCAATTTAATTTGATTTTCTCTTGCCAAGAAAGAGCTAAAAACTAGAATTAGAAATTTTAAGTGAAATGCAGCGACTGAAGACACGTTGTGTCTTTATCTTTTCCCAGTCATCTCTTGAGTATAGTCTTCAGGATTGTAAGGGCAATTAATATTGCGTGCCAAAAAACTTGATCTCGTTTATATTATATGATAAAGGTATACAATATTATATCGTGGTTATCCTAATGACAATTCTCTCACGAGGGCGAATATGAAGCGTTACGCATTCGCATACGACTGATGAAAACGCAGTACTAGCTATGGTAGGCGTGCTCAAAAAATCATCCTCACAAACAAAAGTCGCTAGAATCGCGATGGCGATGCATGTCAAAAACTGCCGGTCGTATGTACCATACATACATATGTATATATATATTTATATATATATATATATATATATATATATATATATATATATATATATATAATTATATATATAGGCACTCTTAACGAGTGAGCTGGTGAGGGAAAGGGACAAATTTACATTCTTAGGTTTGAATATGCCCGTCAAGTGTTAGTATAGTAAACAGGGAGAACATTTTTGCCTATATTATTACCTGTGTTGCAACTCCAAATCTATATATATATATATATAGATGCAAAATATATATATGCAAAAGCGTTGGCCGCAGATAGATAGATAGATAATACTCGAAATCTAATTGGAATTGCATATGTTGTGTAATATGATTGAAATCCCATGCAAATGTAATCATATGCAATTCTAATTAGACTTTGAGTATCTATCTATCTATCTATCTGCGGGCAACGTTTTTGCAAATGGGTGTATATATATATATATACAGGGTGTCTCAAAAAAAACGCAACCAGTTAACTATGCAAGAATATTAATATTGTTCGGGTTTGCACCATAGTTCAACTAAAATGACGTTTAGCATTTTTTTAGCATTTTAAATGAAGGATTAAGAGCCATTTTCAATTCCCAGAGGTGCACTTTAGAGCTGTATTAATGTTCTTGCATATTTAAGCGGTTGCGTTTTTTTTGAGACACCCTGTATATATATATATATATATATATATATATATATATATATATATATATATATATATATATCGATGAAATATATCAATCGATGAAATAATGTTCAGAGAATAACATGTATTTTAAGACTTTGAGCCTGAGATTATTAACTAGTTTTTCGTTCATAGTTACTGTATTTTCTGTATGTTGTTTTCTGGTATTTTAGCGCGGTATTTTTGAAATTGCTCTGTTGCTTTGCTTAGAATAAAATTATTTTGGTGAAATTATTTATGAGTATTTATATTAAACAGCGACAGCAGGAGAATCATTTCTTTAATCATTTACTAGAGCAATTATTTAATGACGATTAGATGGCGGAATAAATTCGATTGTGAACCTACATACAGCATACTTATAAACAATAGCGTAACCGAAATTATATATTGGAATGTCAACCCACGATATGGTTTTGAGATAATTTTATAGCTTCAAACCGAACAATTTATGATTAGTGATATAAAATGATAAAAGACGCTGGGGTACCCCGTACCCTCATGAGAGCAAAATATAAAAAGAATTTTAACGAAAACAAAGCCTTTAAAAGACCTACTGACCTAATCAGGAGGGAGTTCAAATTTGATTCAAATCGCTTTGCGGAAATTATGATTGTATTAAAGTTATATCGCTGCGGTTATAGATATTTAAATATAGAAACATATTAGATCAATAACTTTAAACTAACCTTTAGGAATTTTGACACTTTTCTTGTTTTTTCCGAGGTAATTTACCTCGGTAGCTTTTGATGTGTGTAACAAATTATTGCAAGTTCCGCTATTCTGTAAGTTTGTATTTGCATTTGGCGCCGTCTAAAGAAATTGATCTCGCCTAGCAACACTTGGCAACCCTGAATTTTGGCGTTGCTAACGCGTATAAAATATCATGCAATTCCTACAATTCAAGAGAGCCTCCTCACGCTGGCTTGATAGCATTATGGGTAAAACGCAGTATTATTCGTCAAATGATACAACGCTACGACTTGACACAATTATAATAATTCGCCGCGCAGTGTAATACACATTGAAGCATATTTATACGGTTTTATTCCAACAAGGTAGGTCGGGGCAGTTAGATTTAGCGCAGATTTATGTTAAGCAAAAACAGCAATTATTTGCCACTAACATATTGGACATGAAATTCCGTGAATAATACAGAAAATCACGCTCAATAACACACCTCCATATGCCCGAACACTAAACGTTATTCGAAATTAAGTTGAAATAACGTCAATGATATATATCTGTAAGCAATTTTGAAATTTGATTGGCGCTTTATCTATTCAACGTCGAAACAACGTTATATCGACGTCGGCGATTTAAGGTCGGCTGTATGACGTCAAACCGACGTCGAAATTAGGTTGATCGACGTCGCGACCACATTTCAACTATATATCGACGACATCGAAATGACGTCGTGTGCTGCCTGGGTTACACCTTCGCTTAAACTTCAAAAAGTGTTTTTGAAAGTGTAATTTAAATTTTGATACGACAAATATCACTACATACTATAAAACTATTAGGATCGACTGCAATCACAGAATAGAATAATATATTTGAGGTACTTTCTTTCTGTCAAAAAATTTTGTACTTTCTTAATGGTTTGAAGCTCGAATTTTAAAAATTTACTCATAATTGTTGCAAGGGAGAAACTTCCAACTTAATCAGTCTTAATGGCATATAATGCAGCAAAAATTGAAGGGCCAATATTAATGTTTTTATTTTGTGGTTATATTCGTTCCGAATGATAGAAATATTAGCTGGATATAGTCAATAATAAGAACTTACTGACTGAGAGTGAGGTCTGTACGGTAAAATATCAAACCGAGGTCGTGCCGTATTGACCGAGCGATAGCGAGGTCAATACGGCACGACCGAGGTTTGATATTTTACCGTACAGACCGAACAATCGAAGTCAGTAAGTTATTTATTATATGACTTAATTTGGGAAAACCATAAACACGAATAATAATTCATTTCGAATTGCTGTTGTTTTTCCCGAGGGCAATAAAAATTGAGCGTATTGCCCGTGGGCAATATGGGAAAATCCCACCTCGTCAGCAGCCAATCAAATTTCAGGATTTACAAAAACAAACACTAGTCATATAATAAAATATAATATTGACTGCATGTAAATCAATTATGATTTTTGGCACTTCACTCGATGTAGGTAAATTCTAAAGGTTGAAAGGGTCTTAATTTCGAGTGAAATTATACACACTTCAAATTCAAGCCAGGAACAGTTGATAGGAATATGAGTCAACTATCGGTCCTCCGGCAGGAATCGAGCAGCAAGGGCATTGCACCGGCATTGCAAAAGCGTAGGTTCGATTCCTTAATTCCGGAGGACCGATAGTTGACTCATTTTCCTATCAACTGTTCCTGGCTTGAATTTGAAGTGTGTATAATTCCACTGGAAATCAAGACCCTTTCAACCTATATAATATTGACTGATTTAAGTTTTGAGTCATTTCTTAATATAAGTTTAGGTCAGGTTAGCTCAGGAAATTGTGTAGCTATCTGGTTTGAAATATCGAGGGGTAGCTGAAAGAATGCATTTTTTTGAGACATCCCGAAATAATGTACGGATTTTGTAAAGTAATATCTCCATGAATTTTTTTCCAAAAAACTACTATAACATATCAAAATCTAAGTTAGTCTTTCCTCAAACTAATGAAAGTAGTTTCATTTCGATAACTTTACGTGATAAGAAGCTATTTAATTTTCAATCAAACCGGAGTCCTTTTTGTTTGGGGGCACCCGTACATTATGTCATATTTTTAACTCATCAATGCCATTTCTATGCCATTTCTTTTTTCTTCCATAGACTGAAATTCCAATACAGGCTTTTGTCGCTGACAAGCAATTCAGAATTGGTGATGGTGGTTATTCGTGTGTTTTTGTTGGTCTCATGAAGGATGGAAGTGAAGTTGCTGTCAAGAGAATGATGTCGCAAAAGTGTGATAAAATAGCTGAAAACGAAAAGGAAATTATGAGTCTTCTAAAAACAGAAAATTCTCCTTTTATTGTGAGCTATCGACATTTTCATAAGGACGAGAATTTCATACATCTAATTGTTGATCTTTGTGAGGAAACCCTGACTGAACTTGTAGACTCTCACACTATTGAGCAGCTGCAAGAGCAAGGTCCAAAAATGTGCTCGTTGTGAAAACATTTAATTTCTTATCACCTTCCCTTCCGAATGGGCCTCGTTTGATTTACTCACCTGGTCTTTTCCAATATGACATCTATAAGGATTTAGACTTTTACGTGCGTGTAGGTGCGTATGAAAAACGCGTAAGTGTCTCTCTTTGATAGCGGTACAGATATGCTCAATTGTGAGCCAACGATTAGATTTTCGGGTTGAATTTATTAATTAAACCTCTCCTATAGGATATATTATACTATATAATAGCTACCTAGATTGCCTTGTCAGACACGCAAGACGCCCGTTGTTGACACCCGGTGTCATTTTAAATCATTTAGTCTTAAAATGTCTTAAAATGAAGACGAAACGTTACAAATAAATTATATCAAACTCTTAATTGTTTTGATGGCATTCTTAAATCTTATATGTTGGGCTCTCATATTTATTATAAGATATACAGATCTTTTGGAATTTAATCTCTACTAGTAAAAGACTATAATAGTTCTCGGGGCGCTTTGATGCCATGATTGAGTTTCGGTCTTTGCCTGTGGGTGGCAAGTGCTTCTTTGCATAATAATACTGACCACTGTTTCGCCTTATCCTGGATGCTTGTTACTGAAATCTTCAGCGGACTCAACCTTTCTGGAATTTGTGATTTCGGAACGATCCATAAATATACCTGTCAAACATAGAACTATGGCCCAAAAATTGAAATGTGAGCATAGGCATATTGTAAGTGGCATTTCTTTGACGCGTATCTTACATATTTTATAATTGAATTCTCAACTGAAAATAGAGGCAATAGAAAAATGTAGGGGGGTAGTCGGAATAGGTTACACAGCTAAATTTCAAATTTAAAACACCCTAATATATTAATGCTATTATTGTTTATGGATTTTAAAAGAATATTTTTAAATAAAAATCTACCAGTGGGATTGCGATTTCAAGCTGTATAGTAATTTATTCTGACTACCTCTAGTTCCGCCACTGTTTTCTTACATGTAACTGGTTAAGCACTTAAAGCATTACGTGAAAGCTTAATGCGATAAAATTGTTAAAGAAAATAGTTAGATATGATTCATGAAGGTATACGGTAATTTTACTATAAGTGGATGATTAATATTTTAAGTTGTGAACAAGTTTTAACATTAATCGATTAAACAAAAAACCCACTCTAGACTATTGCGTCGATGTCCTTAAACAAAACGTACACGAGAGCTGAACTGAGCGTCAATTGGATATGTTTAGACTTTGCAAATAGCGCGTACAGATCCCTCAGCTTTTATTATTAAACTGTGTGCCGTGACAACAACAACGGACACGAAAACATTAGAAAAATGCAAAGAGTGAGGCTAATTCTGGTGTAATTTCTATACTAATATTTTAGTCTAGAGAGTTTTTTAAATCTAACATAGGCTTTTGTAAAAGGAGCAAATGAGTTTTTAGCGATATTTTGTTGCCCTGGAAATTTCGACACATATCTTACTTGTGCAATATTTACGATATGACCTTTTCAGGTTTCGTATGTTTTTAATCAAACATCTTTACTTGGTGTAGACCAGTTCAAACCTAGTATAAAAGTAATAAATAAAAGCTACAAATATGAATGGCTTGTTTCTGCATTTTTGTCCGTGGGGATTAACGCGACTTAAAGAATACTAAGTTACAATTGAAGAACCATGATCTTCGACATGTATTCTCGTCTTCTCTCGCAAAATTGTATTTAGTATTTAGTATCCGGTTGTTTCACATCAACGACCTTGAACTTCGAGTATAGGAAGTTTTTCGATACGCAAGTCAATTATATGAATGAATTACATGCTTGAAACACGCAGACTAGTATCTTTTCGAGGGAGCTCGTTTTGGAGGGAGTTCAGTAGGGACACAAGGAACCTTTTTCATATACAAAGTCGCCAAATAGTATTTTTCTTTTCACTAAAATTGAATCATAACTAATTACTTCATTTGCTCTTTCTGGAGACAAAAAACAACGAACTTTGTTCTGTACGTATCGGACGTTTTCTAGAGGCATGCATGCATGACATTGAGGCAAATGACATCTCTAATGACATTTAGTCTTATATTAAATGAGTGCATAATATACATAAATCATACAATCTTACTCTGCGTTGTCCAGGTCAACATCACTGCTTGTTAGGAAAAAAGAAAATGCAGTGTACTTGTTTCTATAAACAACTCCATTTTGTTCAACAATTGTCACTATGCATGTCATTATCTTGATACTAAGTGATTTGATATTTATTCCGCTCCTAAAACGGCGGACATTTTTATACGAGCCTGAGATTCCACACAGGAAAGCAGTATAATCCATTATAATCCAGCGGTATAATCCAGATCGATTATTTGACATCGCTGGGCATTTTAAGACAGTATAAAAATCTATTTACGCGCAAAAAAGAGATATATCGCTCTCCGGACTAATTAAGACTCGATCCTGACGGGTCAGACGGGTCCTTGGGACAGGCCCTTAAATATAGCACTGAAAACAAAATTATTCCCAATTTAAATCCAAAACCTATTCCATTGCAGGAAATTCACATAAAATAGTTGGTTATAAAGTAGCTAGTTAAGAACATTTACTAAAATGTAAAATAATTACGTAGATTTGTTTTAACAATCTTGTATACTTTGTGCGCAGTCCGGAATCTCATTAAACCACTCGACATAATTTTATAATTATAGCTAGGCCATGATAATAAGTTCTGCATCAATTCATAAGTGGTTGAAGAGCAGTGAGAACCAACACGAACTTAATAACGGAACAAATTTGATGTTAACAAAGCTGAGTTGTTGTGAAGTAGATATTTGCATTTAAAATTCATTATTACTGAATATGATGCAGTCACGCACGAACGCCATTAAGAAACCAAACTCGATTATAGAAGTCGAAATTTACTATAACTTCAAAGGAAGTCCAGAGTGTTACATTCCATATAATTATGTCGCTACTGTCAAACAGCTGGTTATATGGTCATTATGGAATATGACGATTTTTTTCTTTCACCATGCAACTTTAGGGCCAGTTTACATGAGCCCGCGGGTACCCGAGATTCAAAAACCAACCACGAGCTATTGTCGGTAATCGGGATGGCAACACCACTGTGAGGTTCATGCTCATATATTCATTTCAATACCCCATAGTCTTTTTGCGCGTCGTTGAATCTCTACTAAACAAGTTAAAATAAACAGCTCTTCATTGATCCGTCCTCAGAAAATATCGGTTTTGTTATGGAAATATATTTCAAACGCATGTTTGATCGAATCAGACAATTCCCTTGGGACTTGGGTACAACAAGACGCAGTTGATTATACAATTTTCCCTCGATAAGAATGCGTCCTCACTCCCTAACTGAAGAGCAAGACTAATTTGCCGCTCACTTTATGTAACTTCTGACTAGAAATTACAGTTACTTTCGACCCCATGTCTAAATCAACAAGGTTCCTCCAGTATCATGCGGTATCACGACTACGATTTCGTCCGTTTTCCGTATCAACAGCAGACTGAGGCGGGATTTCATTTTATGTTCTATATTCTGGTTAAAGTAAATTAAATAAAACGTCCTGGGCTGGCTTCTACCGGGGCCTTATACCTTGCTGGCCCTATTCTTTAAACCTGCGTCCATGAGACGTTTCAGCCTTAAGAAGCAAACTTCATAGATTGAAATAATTGTCGATATATACCCCAGAACATTTATAACTATACTTGCACACTAACTTTGGTTATCCACTAGGCAACTTAGTTTTTACTACGCTACTTTGAAAACCGTTCATCTTATTCGGTTTGCTAACATTGTGATAGTTATACACGGCCGCAAGAGTAAATCAATTATGACTTTTGGCACTTCACTCGATGCAGATAAATTCTAGAGGTTTTAAAGGGAAGTAAATTCTAAAGGTCTTAATTTCGAGTGGAATTAAACACTCTTCAAATTTAAGCCAGGAACAGTTGATGGAAAAATGAGTCAACTATAGGTCCTCCGACAGGAATAGAACCTACGCTTTTGCGCTGCCGATGCAATGCTCTTCCTCATCACAAAAGCGTAGGTTCGATTCCTGCCGCAGGACTGATAGTTGACTCATTTTTCCATCAACTGTTCCTCGCTTGAATTTGAAGTGTGTTTAATTCCACTCGAAACTACGACAGCAAGAGTTTGATTGTTCATAATTCATTCATAGCGGATACTGACAGAAAAGTCGTTCGATTTTTCCTTTTTACTGCATGGCAAGTGATGCATGCATCATGCATGCGTACAACTTCAAGGGCTCTCTAAATTAAGAGTCTAAAATATTTTAGGGAAGAAATCATACCAAAAACAATCACATGATGATTGAGTGGTTGAGTAGGTATAAATACAAGCCCATATTTGCCAGAACATTGAATTGGAAAGGTTTTAATGTACCAGAATATTCAAATTCAATAAAAGGTAAGCGCAATGAATATTATATATATGATCGCCAATTTACATCGCAAAGATCCTCTAGAAAACCATGGGTGCAAGCAAGCTTGTTATGTCGCGAAGAATGATCGATTATGGGTGGTTTATCTTGCCATTAGTTCCTTTTTCTTCATTTTTACCTCTATATTCATCACTGACGATGGTTTGGGATACTTGTCTATCACATGTAGACCATTTCATACATCAACAGATTATTTAATTCAAAACAATTATGTTTCAATTTAATTTAGATATTATCATCTCCAGCACAACAGGAAGAAGAATACCAAAGTTAAAGCAATGTTTAACAAAATACTCTTGTCTTTTGCCGTTGTTCTTCTGGTCATTCCCGTGATGAAGTCACAAACTTGCAAAAGTACGTCGACAATTTATTTTTCATTGTTTCCTGCATTAAGTCTGATCCAGTGCATCAAAGACTGAATGGCCTACACTCAACTATACTAAATTAAAGCTCCGTTTATAGGAATTATTTCTTGGTATTATGGTATAAATTATATAAACGGTCCCCGATTATCGTTTTAGTTTCAGGCCTGATTGGTGGTATATATTTAAAGAGTCATTAATTTATATTAGTCAAACTTGTTTTCATCTCTCTCGTCCGCAGCACTTTCAAATGTTACAATAACTAGATCTATTTGCGTAATTCTTATCAGTAGTGAGAAGGTGGTTCATTATTATTGGATTGCGGGTGTGTTTGACGGTAATCTATTTACTGTATAGAGAGCAACACAGTTTTTTTAACAAAATGTTTTCCGAATACGTTAATTCCACTAAATTTTGAGGTTTCAGATTCACCACCTTTCAATATACCCAAGGCTACCAGGTTGAGCGTTGAGGTTGACTACCCTTCAATACCCCCCAGGCTACCAGTATTGAGGGTTGAGGTTGACCACCCTTCAATACCCCCAGGCTATACCAGTATTGAGGGTTGAGGTTGACCACCCTCCAATACCCCCAGACTACCAGTATTGAGGGTTGAGGTTAACCACACTCCAATACCCCCCAGGCTACAGCCCTGGTGACAGTATTGCCAGGAGTATAGAATGTCTGAATAAAGTGTGGCGCGTGAAGGGATTTTTCTACCTTCCACCGTTGAGGCTTTCATGCATCATTTATTTTTCTTCTTCCTCAAAGTATCAAATTGTAATTAATATTAATTTTATCAATGCTTTATGTTTGGTTAACCAAAATCAGGGTATTCTAAATGCGAAAAGGAACGAGCAGTGAACTTGGTAAAGACACGTTGCGGAATGATGGGCGTGTATGTTCCTCAGTGTGAAAAAGACGGACGTTATTCTCTGATACAGTGCAAGCCTTCTGGTTTCTGTTGCTGTGCTGACCCATTCACTGGCAGTCTGTCTGGATGTGTTCAGTTACCACAGAAACCCCAGTGTTGCCGTGTAAAAGGTATTTCATTCACCGCAGAGCAGCTAGTAGGAGCAGCTAGTAGGAGCAGCTAGTGCTTCCGCAGTTGGAAACTGAAAATAAATTGACCTAATATATCCATTTGATCAACATAATACCACAGATTTTTTCAGGAATTTAGGTAACTTATCGTAGCAAATTTAGCAAATTTTATTATCAGTCCCCCCTCCCCCACTGCTCCATTTTTGTTAAAAAATTTCATGGTTTGAGGATAAGATTACATAAGACAACATATTCTAAATTAACTGCACATTAAGCTCTGTTTTTTTGTTTAGACTGCGAAAAAAGGCGAGCAGCCGCTTTGAAACTTATAGAACTTGGGCTTCAGGGTGTTTTTACTCCAAGATGCCGAAAAGATGGAACTTACAGTCCTATACAAACACCGCTGGCCAATATGTTTTGTTGCGCAGATTTTTGCAACGGCAGTCTTAGCCAATGTGTTATTGGCCCAAAAAGACCAGAGTGCGCCAAAAAGGGTAAGTTATGATATTATCTTTTGTCATTGTTTTTTTCTTAAATTTACAAAATGTCTTTGAGACATTATATTTTTGCTACCACTACATTTTAAAGTGTATATGTCAAAAATAAACATGGGACATAAATAGCACGGAATAACATGATAAGTTTATCATGGTTTTGAAGATGAAAAATAGATATCGAAGAGGGTGAAATAAACGACTTTTTAAGATTTAATGAATATATTGTATTTATGTAAATTAAAGTTTAAACTTTGCAATATATTGAATCCCCATTAAAATTAATAGAGAAGTTAACTTTTACTTGTAAGGCGCTTCAAATGATTTTGATGTCTTAATTATTGATCGATAGCGTATTTTAATATCAATTATTACTCTTTTCCCTCAAATTAGAGTTTTCTAATTGTCAATTTAAACGAGCAGTCGGCTTGGCAAGAAACAAATACTGTCAATGGATTGGTGGATATATCCCTCAATGTGAGAAAGACGGAAGTTATTCTTCTGTGCAGTCCAGTCCCACTGGCTACAGTTGTTGCGCTGAACCTGAATGTGGCGAACAATCAGACTGCGTTAGAGCACCAGAAGTTCCACATTGCAGCAAATAAGGTAGATGCGTACAAAATTCAAAGTTTACTGTTTTAGTGCGCCAATATTTAATTCCAGGGACACCCCCTGATTGACATTACATAGAATTTCATCCTCGATTAGATTGTGTTGAATGAAATTCAGATTTTGGTTTTTTAAATTAAATCAGTGAATATCTTATGCAGGCACATTTTCATCGTCTTTTTTTCTCGTCTTTTAGAAGAGAAACATACCAAGAAAACAAGAAAAACCAGATTAAAATATTTCTTTCTAGATTAACTTCTAACCTAGTTTAGACGGTAATATGTGGAATATATGTTAAGCTTTTATTAAAATGTTTTTCTTCGATATTTTCTGGAAAATTCGTATCTGAAGACTACATTGACAGAAACAACTTGAGTTTTGAAACAGAAACGGACCATTCAAAATTATCATAATAGAAGCTGTCTTTGACTTTGAGCAATGATCAAAATTTCGCTACTGAGAACCCCCCCCCCCCCTTACCTTTTCTTATGACATACTCATGCAGGTGTAATCTATGTTGAAAAAATCGCATTCGTCTAAAAGAGAATGTCATGCACATCTATTTTATATCGAAAAAAGCCTCTTTCTTCGAAACGTTAAGAAGTTGTTTTGTAAAATTCTGGCAGTGGCTGAACCGCATTTAATACTATCATTGCAAAGCTCAAAATCTAACTTATGTACCAAAAATGTTTGGGCACACGAGTTATTGGGGACTTAGTTTATAGCGCCATTGACCCATTTTGTAGCATTGAAAACGGCTGAGGCAGCATTAATTTCAATATCATTGGGACACCTGTTCCAGGCACTGAGCAGATTTTATATAATGTTTATTTCGGTTATAAAGTAACTGGATAAGATCAGCGTACACATTTTAAGAAAACTGGTTATAAAACGCACGTTTGAACAATGCAATGAGACGTTCGTTTTGACCACCCTGCCATAAGATACGAGAGAGATTGACTAGCCATTCTATCATACGTTCACAAAGGAACTAGTTCAACTGTTCGTCCGGTTGCACTCTTTAGCAATTTTTCTGCTGCCTTGAATGTTGCATCATTATCCAAAAATATAACTCTTGGTCTTCCGCGGTGAGCAATAAACCGTTTCAAAGATGGTAAGATCTCGTTCAACTCTAGAGATCTTAGCCCTTCAAGATGCACAGTTTTCGTTATGCTGCATCCGTACACAACCATGTGCGCTTTCTTCGTTGTTTTCTTAGCAAATGCTGGGTCGAACCCGCGAGATCGACACAAACAAATTCGAACGGCGTTGTTCCTTGGGAACTTGAACCCAGAAATTGAAATATGAGCATAGGCATCTTGTAAGTGACATTTCTTTGACGGGTAGCTATCTTACATATTGTATAATTGAATTCTTAAAAAATAGAGGTGATAGAAAAATCTATGGGGGTAGTCGGAATAGATTGCACAGCTAAATTTTAAATTAAAAACACCCTAATATAACAATGCTATCCTTTATGGATTTTAAAAGAATCTTTTTTAATAAAAATCTACCCGTGAGATTGCGATTTCAAGCTGTATAGTAATTTATTCTGACTACCTCTAGATCCGCCACTGTTTTCTTACATGTAACTGGTGAAGCACTTAAAGCATTACGTCACGAAAAGCTTATTGCGATAAAATTATTAGGGAAAACAGTTTAAGTTTTGAGATATGATTCATAGAGGTATACGGTAATTTTACTATAAGTGGATGATAAATATTTTAAGTTGTGAACAATTTTTAAAATTAATCGATTAAACAAAAAACCCACTCTAGACTATTGCGTCAATGCCCTTAAACAAAACGTTCACGAGAGCTGGACCGAGCGTCAATTGGATATGACATTGTTTGGACTTTGCAAGTAGCGCGTACAGATCCCTCAGTTTTTATTATAAAACTATGTGCCGTGACAACAACAACGGACACGAAAACATTAGCAAAATGCAAAGAGTGAGGCTTCTGGTATAATGTCTATACTAATATTTTAGTCAGTCTAGAGAGTTTTAATCTTACATAGTCTTTTGTAAAAAACACTTTCATAGGAAGAAATGAGTTTTTAGCATTATTTTGTTGCCCTTGAAATTTCGGCACATATCTTACTTGTGCAATATTTACGATATGACCTTTTCAGGTTTCGTATGTTTTTAATCAAACATCTTTACTTGGTGTAGTCCAGTTCAGACCTAGTAAAGTAATAAATAAAAGCTACAAATATGAATGACTTGTTTCTGAATTTTTGCCCGTGGGGATTAACGCAACGTATAGAATGCTAAATACAATTTTGCCAGAGAAGAGGGCGGAATGCATGTCGAAGATCATGGTTATTGATTTGTAAACTAATCTAATTGCTTTCCGGTTGTTTCACATCAACGACCTTGAACTTCGAGTATAGGAAGTTTTCCGATATTATATGAATGAATTAAATGCTTGAAACACGCGAAGATATCTTTTCGAGGGAGCTTATTTTGGAGGGAGTTGAGTAGAGACACAAGGAATCTTTTTCATATACAGAGTCGCTAAATAGTATTTTTCTATTCACTAAAATTGAATTAAAACTGATTTTTTCCTTTGCTCTTTCTGGAGACAAAAAGCAACGAGCTTTGTTCTGTGCGTATCGGAAGTTTTCGAGAGGCATGGATGCATGACATTGAGTCAAATGACATCTCTAATGACATGCATTTAGTCTAATATCAAATGAGTGCATAATATACATAAATCATACAATCTTACTCTGCGTTGTCCAGGTCAACATCACTGCTTGTTAGAAAAAAGGAAAAATGCAGTATACTTGCTCCTACAAACAACTCCATTTTGTTCAACGATTGTCACTATTCATGTCACCATCTTGATACTAAGTGATTTGATATAAGGAAAGTGGTATATAATCCATTATAAACCAGCGGTATAATCCAGATCGATTATTTGACATCGCTGGGCATTTTAAGACACTGGTCTTCGCGGCCAGTGTAAAAATCTATTTACGCCCGAAAAAAAGATATATCGTTCTCCGGACTAATTAAGACTTGATCCTATCATTGTGAAACTCTTTATAAAACTCTTTATAAAATTTTATAAACCTAATACACCTAGAATGCTTGTTCTGTAACACGCGAGCCCTTAAATATAGTACTGAAAACAACATTATTCCCAATTTGAATCCAACATGCATATATTCCTGGTTACGGAAAATTCACATAAAATAGTTGGTTATAAAGTAGCAATAGTTAAGAACATTTACCAAAATATAAAATAACTACATAGATTTGTTCCAATATAACCAGGGAGCAGCGTGGCAGCGTCTTCAAACAATTTAACATCAAATGTGGTATAAAACTGCCTAAATTAGACAAAACACTTCTCGACGTTTCGACCTGAGGGCCTTCGTCAGGAAAGTTAGTATGAAAATAAATAGGGGAGAATACATGTTTTGTATGGGGGCAAAACACGTGATAAAAATGGGCCAATAGAGAACAATAAATCAAAACAAATTAGAATACATTACATTGCTAAGGAGGCGCCTGATTGTGGGCTAAGAATAGCCCGCAATGAGGGAAGCATATGATCAGCAACGAAAACATATTACAACCAGCTTCATGTAAACAAAGAAATGGTGGTCATATTACTATAGGTGAAGTAGCTTAAATGAAAGAGAGTCTTTCATTTATGCCAGAGGGATGGAGAGTGCCAAGACTGTAGATGAGTCGCATTTCTTGTCGTTTACGGCAATCGTTAGTTTTGATTTTTTGTTCTCTATATATTGGGCCTTTTTATCACATGTTTTTCCCCCATACAAAACAGGTATTCTCCCCTATTTATTTTCATACTAACTCTCCTGACGAAGGCCATCATGCAGGTCGAAACGTCGAGAATTGTTTTGTCTAATTCAGGCGCGGGTTGTTATACCACATTTGCGACATAGATTTGTTTTAACAATCTTGTATACTTTGTGCGCAGTCCGGAATCTATAATTAAGCCACTCAAGATATAATTATAGCTAGTTGATAATAAGTTCTGCATCATTCATAAGTGGTTGAAAGGCGATGGGAACCAACTCGAACTTAATATCGGAACAAATTTCATGTTAACAAAGCTGAGTTGTTGCGAAGTAGATATTTGCAGTCAAAATTCATTATTTATGAATTATGATTCAGTCACGCACGAACGCCATTAAGAAACCAAACTGGATTAGAATTTAGAAGTCGAAATTTAAGGCCATGTTACACGGTGCAATCTTTCTTGCAACTTGCAATGCAATTCTACTTTTGAGAGATCTATTTGGGAACAACCAAACTTTTGAGTTTATTACACTTCATGCACTTTTTTTCTGCCAGACTCTTTACTAATTTGCGTCTCTTAGAAGTCGAATTGCATTGCAAGTTGCAAGAAAAATTGCACCGTGTAACAGGGTCTTTACTAACTCCAGAGAAAATCCAATGTGTTACGTTCCATTACATTCCATTCCATATGTCGCTACTGTCAAACAGCTGGTTATTCGGTCACCATGGAATATGATGAAATTTTTCTTTCACCATGCAACATTAGGGCCCGCGTACATGAGTTCGGGTATCCGAGATTCAAAAACCAACTACGATGCATTAAATAGAATGTGCTGAGCTGGCTTCTACCGGGGATTATACCTTGTTGGCCTTATTCTTTAAACCTGCGTCCATGAGACGTTTCAGCCTTAAGAAGCAATCTTCATAGATTGAAATAATTGTCGATATATACCCCAGAACATTTATACCTACTTGTGCACTAACTTTGGTTATCCACTAGGGAACTTAGTTTTTACTACGCTGCTTTAAAAACCGTTCATCTTATTCGGTTTGCTAACTTTGTGGAGTAAATCGATTATGCCGGATTTTTGGCACTTCACTCGATGCAGGTAAATTCTAGAGGTTTAAAAGGGTTATAATTTCGAGTGTAATTAAACACACTTCAAATTCAAGCCAGGAACACTTTGATGGAAAAATGAGTCAACTATAGGTCCTCCGGCAGGAATAGAACCTACACTTTTACGATGCCAATGCAATGCTCTTACCTCATCACAAAAGCGTAGGTTCGATTCCTGCCGGAGGACAGATATAGTTGACTCATTTTTCCATCAACTGTTCCTAGCTTGAATTTGAAGTGTGTTTAATTCCACTCGAAACTACAGCAGCAAGAGTTTCATTGTTCATAACAGATATTGACAGAAAAGTCGTTTAATTTTTTTCCTTTTTACTGCATGGCA